AAACCTAAGGCGGAGTTAAAATGGAGGTGGGAGGTGCAGAACCCTTCCCTAGTGATATGCGAGCTCAAATTTCAATTGAGCACACAATAACAGCCATGTGGAAATTATTTGTTCAACAACCAAATACTGATGACAAATTTCCAATATTATAGGCTTGAGATAATCCTCGCAAAGTAATAAACAGATTTGATAAATGTCAGTTCTTCTGCAAGTATAAATAGCACTATGATCATACTTTAAGAAATGTGATAAGCATAAAAGTATCTACTTGTGCAAGTATCCCTCAAAATATTTAAGAGCTATATTTATCTTGTAATTGTTTTTAGTAATAAAAGGTATACTCAACTCTTTGAATACTCATAAAAAACTGTTACTTTATTATTTACATTCCTTTGAATACAGGCGAATTTCAATTCTGTTCGTATTTCGAAGCGCAACATGTTCTACTCCGGATTTATCTTCTTTTATTTTTTGGCCGGTCTCTCGATCTTTAAAACGATGTATGGTTTTAGTTTAAAACTGCGGGGTTTTCTTTATTTTTCCCCTTACAGGTTTCCTTTTTTTTATAATACAGTGGACTTGGATAAAAGAGGCATGAATTCACGATATTTTTCAACTAAAGAAACTATTAGTGGGAAAATTTTCAATGCCGATTTTTCTCAGTATTTGCCAACAAGGGACTTGACATTCATGGATTCGCCGAAAGATAGCATTTTCCGAATTTTGTAAGAACTGAAAATTGTTGTTGATTAGTAGGCAAAAACTGGACAACAGTAACTTCCATGGTACCCAATGTTGCCAGATTAGGGCTTTCCCCGTAATATACGTTGTTTTTGGCTTTTACTGGCAGTTTTCGGAGGAAAATTGATTTTGGTTTTCGTTGAGTTTAAAGGACTCTTTTTTTTAAATATCTACACTTAAGTATCACAAAATCCAAAAATTTGATTGCAAGAATATTTATAAAATAGGACTAAGAATAGTAAAAACACTAATCGGCGTGTAAGAACATTTGAATGAATTTCCTCGTTTAAAATTGGGCGGTTATTTGTCACAACCAAGATTGGTAGAAGACAGCAACACAATTGAAGAAAAGGAAAGAATGACAGCAATAAAGTAATGGAAACAACGATTTCGGTTGACGGAACGTTTTTATGAAGAGGTACCAGCATCTCTTTTTCAATCATTCATTACAATGAGTGAGACAACGATAACTCTTACTTTCCGTAACCCGTACACAGAGTGAAACACTCCTTAAATAACATGAAGGTGGTCTCTTGGTCTTGATAACAAGAACAATTCAAGTCAACAAAATCCATGCAATGTCTGAATATATGTTCACGTATTATATTCATAGTTATACTTATTTTTATACATTACAAATATAGGTGTTTAATGTAAATATAATTAACAATTAATATTTTTCGTATTTCTGTAATTTCCATACCTCTTGATATTTTAAATACGATTTTTTTTAATTACGGGTTTTTGTTTTTGACTTTCTGGTAGTTTTTGCTGCGCTATTTAATGGCAAATGTTTAAGATTACCTGGCAACACCGTTTGAACCTAGTCAAAATGTTGAACCAAAAGTTAAATAACATGTTGATGAGTGAACAAAGAAGGTACTATGGGAATGTGATACCTGTAATTCACATGAACTCTGTATAGGATTGTGCCAAAATCAACTCTTCCTTGATGTTTACATGCAGTGGAATAAAATGCAATACATAACACGCTGTTTATAAATAAGTTTTTTTGCAAAAGGATTGAATTTACACATTCACATTTGTAATTTCAAAAATATGACAATTTACCTTATTAATTTCAAAATGTGTACAGATATTCACAATGGCAATGAAAATTTAAAATTTTGGGTAAAAGCAGATAATTAACTCAAAAACAGGATCAAATGACACACACACAACTTTTACGCAACCTATGTCAATTTTTGACCCCCTCAAAGTCGAGAATTGAAACTGTGCTGGCAGTTTTCGACCTTTGGATATTACAGTTTTGCACAACACAGGAAACTTCGAGTACGGCAGATGGTATTTTTGTTTTTCTGTAACGAAGTCATTTCTAACGTCTTATTCAAGCTATCTAAGAGCTGAGGCAAGATTTCATCAGTACATACAAGTGGCAACTCGAAACTCATTTTTTATTTTATTTTGCCAAGAAATGTGATTGGAAAACAGTGCATTTTTACTATTAAGGGTCTCATGGAGATAATTCACAAGACAGACCGTAAAATAATTTTATCTTTTATCGTTTATTAAATCGCCTACCTAAGGTATGGTTAAAAAAGCTAATCTGCAAAATGTTTTTTAATGCCACTCATCTTGTGAACTGACAATTAGCCATTAAGCTCCCAGTAAGTGCATTATTTTCTTCAAAACTACAATTTTAGAACTGCTACACTTTTTAAAAATTTCTACACGTACCAACTTATTACAACTGCAACTGAATCGTCACGCGCGACGCCGGTCGAGAAACTTAAACCGTTGCGGAAAAACCTTCACTTTTCCTTTTTACTCGCAGTGGAACCCCGAACAAATACTTTCACGCCCCAACCTGGGTCTCTCACAAAAGACCCTCCTAAAGCGAAATATTGCTACCTGGAAAGCACTTCGTGATTTCTTCGAATAACTAGACCCACGAAACTAGGGCTGTCCATAATTTATTCCCTGCTTTTTATAGTACAGTACATGTTGAAAACCATATTTCCAATTCCTTCATCAAACCTAATTCAAAATATTGCCTGCTCAATAGGCTAGGAACTAATCTTACATTAAAGGAAATTTGCAAATCTCTGATTTTTTTTTCTGACAACATTCACCTACGTTTGCTCGACAGATTTATACTTCATACGATAATTTCTCGGGAATAAACACGTGCTCCACAAGCGGTAACATCGTGTCAACATACATGGAAATCTTATCGAACTATGACATAATAAATCGATATGGCATTACGCCAAATCTCGGAGGCTGTAACTAGTGATATGCCAATTACTGTTAACTTTATTTCTGCAGCTCGTATCTTAACAATGAGGTATACTTAAAACTTAACTCGCTATGTAGAAATTAAGACCAGTAATACTGTTTTGGGCCTAACTGGAATTTCTTTGCATTTAAGATCTTTCGAACGTCAAATGGCATTGTTCAGACAAACGAACACTTACGGACCTTCTATTTTTTAAAACATTAATTTCATTAGAAACAAATTTTAAATAAGGATGAATTATTTGTTTTGTTACATGTATTCACGTACCCTATTTAGAACACTTCAGTTTTACGAAAACCCGAGCTGCTCCGGTTCGCCGCTGCAATTCTTGGCACTTTTCCAAATATTATTTTTAAAACTTTAGGTGGCCGCTGACAAGTAGTTTCGAAAAAATGCAAAAATAATATTGAGCTACCTCAACACCAAAATCAGCGCTGAATAAGTGATCAAACACCATAATGCTCCGAATACAGATTGTTTTTTTTCTCTTTTGCCTATCAAATGCTAGGGCGTGACCATCAGTATTTGGTTCACAATTGGTCAACCCGATGCTGTTTCCGTCATGCCATCGGCTGTGCACCTGACAACGAACGATTACACTGAAGAAAAACTAAGATAAGATACCAGCAGGTGCCCCACCCGTCGCGAACCACAGCCCAGAACCTGCTGGTGCTGCACGTACCGCTTCTTCGCATCAGCGTCCGAAATTGGGCCAAGGCGACGGCAGTAGTCGCAGCACTGCCCTTCACTCGCTAGAGCATTACTTTTTAAAATCAGCACGACGACGTAACATTCACAGCCGTCCAATTTCCCCTGTGTATATCGTTACATACAAATTCCAAGCGTTTTAAAAATGGCACGGGTTTTTGAAACAACTTGTCAAAAAATATCAAACTTGCGCACTCAAGAATCTCTTTTCTAAAAATCCTGGTTCGGAAAGAGGTAGAATGCAAACCAACTGGAATATTTAAGATCTCGTATTTATAAAACACTGAACGCCGGCCAAATTTATACGAGCTGCGATGCATCATTCAAAAACCGTATCCAAAAATAGACTGTTTATAACTTCGAAGGTTGCATGTTCTCACTAATAATAATGAACAAGCACTAATAAAGGCTAAATATGATCTCAGAGTAGAAAATACTGCCACAGGAGATGCACGTAGGAGTAGTAAGAGGTTACGCCTATCAAAACGTTTGCCGGCCATACTAGTAGTACGGGGTCAGAAAATACAACTTACACACACACTCTCAGAGAAAAATAGACTTAAAGATAATAGTTTACGTAACTTACCTTACTAACTAATCTTCAATGTGGCCGATGAGACACAGGAAAAAGCACTATACACTACAAATACTGACAAATTTTGACACCACCTCGACCGCAAACCTCTCTCGTCCACTGCGACCGACGCACACCCAGCGCAGCGTTTGCTTCTTTCAGCATCCGCCGATAAAAGTAGTTCTAAAGTTCAAATTGAAACTCATTCACAACTGTAGGACTTGATAGAAATGTGATTACACCTCCTTATTCGCAATAATACGTCTTAACATTCAGTTGCCTAAATAATCGTAACGACTTCCCATACAAATAGTATTACGGCGCATGAATCCTATCCACTTAAATGATGTCATCGGTCCCTTTGGCATGTGATGAATGAGCAGAGTGTACGTCGGGTGGGCGTGGTAGAATAAAGTCATTATATTTAAAACCAGTACTGCTAATTACCCATGACACGCTCTAAATGAAGACAATGCTCAATCTACTTCCCATTATAACGTAGCTACCATCACCGCAAGTTGTAATGATGCCTAGAAAAAGGGCAAATACCCCCCCGCCTCAGCGACATGTATGTCAAGGATTGCTGTTGACTTGTAATAGTTTTATTAGGCAATGGCTCCTGGCTACGGATGATGAATACTAATTATATTACAGTAGTTTCGTCGTACGGAAGTACCATTGGATGATATTCGTAAGTCATTCAGAAACAATTCTCACATTTTTGCTGAAATTTACAGAATAACTGAATTCCAACATTTGAAAATACTAACAAAATTGAGGTAATCATTCTAAAATTAGGTAATAACTGATCTTCAAAAGGATGTGTATTCTTTTACACCTTTCAATATTTATATCACTACACAGAAACATCTATTTTCAACATCATCCTGAAAGAAAAATACTCTGATAGGCAATTGTGGAATTGGGTATATTTCATTGCTGATTACTAACAACCGAATTCTTTCTGATCATCCAGGAATTTCATGGAGTTATTAAATATTTAACATACGTATGCAAAAAGCAACGTATTGCCAGAATGTATTAAAATAGGGATTAGATAGACACAAAGCAAATTTTATAAATCTGTACATATTTTATTGTATTTCCTATAACTTTTGATTTGATTTCTAAAGCTTTTTTAAGTGACCAGATTTCTTAACACAATTGTTTTCTTCACTTCAGAACCAAAGACTCTTTCTAAGATCAATGACAATAAAATAGCTATTCTTGGAACAAGATTACAAAAATATCTTAACTGATTTAAGAGATAAATAATATGAGATTTAGGGCGTAATTTTATCACAAATATTAAAATGAGTATTTACACCATACATTATGCTTACATAGTTGGTAATAACTTGATAAGTCTTTCAAATGACAAGCAATATAGTTCTGTACAGTAATTACAAAATCAAAAGTTTTTAAATTTAAAACACACACAACATAACAAGGCTCACCTCCATTACATTTTCTTCTACTAACTGACAATTTTAAACTTAAAAAACATAACAAAAAATACACTTTGTACAAACACAAGAGTGATTGGTTCTGGATCCAGTATTTGGTGCCACTTACAAACAATGTCATTCTGCATATATACCCCTTACAAATAGTTTGTCAATCCACTATACAAACTCTGTACACATCACTTACATATAATATGATGCAACGAAATAAAGAATGAACAAAATCTCTTACTTTCAGACTTTCGTGACATTACACAGCAAGTGCTTATAAAAGTGGAAATATCGAACAGACAAGTACCAAGTGGATTCTCATATGAGCGCATCATGGCACAACGGGAAGAGAAGCGAAATGGGCTTGCGGCAAGCAGGCAGGCAGGCAAGCAAGGAAGCTATTTCAGCCACAAGGCTAGGCCCGCCGATCTTGACAGGAGTAATGCACAATGTCACCATTTGGATATCTTGCAAATGCGCTGAAAAGAGAAGATAATTGAGCATTATATAAAATCATGATATCTTGATATCAACATTTCTTAAAATTTGTAAAGATGGAAAACAGAAGGCACTAAATAACATGTAGGACAAGAAAATATAAGGCCAAAATAACTTATTGTCGTACAATGCCATGTCTAAGAACTTAATTTGTCAATTTTTTTTTTACTTCCTTACATCTACATTTTTTTTTTTTTACTTTTAATTTCCCTCCTGAAATTAATATATATTTCATATATATTAATGTTTTATTTTGAAACATTTTCAGGACTTCTATAACAACTGCTTTATGAACACTGATCGGATCTGGATTTAGAGTGAACAGGAGAGAGAGACTGGATTACGACTGAAATGTCCTTGTGAGTAACACAAGGTCTTGAGACAGAAATGTAGATTAATATGCTCAATCATGCCAGTTCTAAAAAAAATCAAGACAGACCTATGACACAACATATCACTGACAAGCTTCATCACTACGAAACAGCTGTAAGATTACCTTGCATGACAAGAACCAACCAAACCCTCAGAATCACATCTACAAAAATGAAGTTGGCTCAATTGCAATACTCTGTGAACCCAATATTAACAGGCATATGCTTAACCATCTTTTAACATTACCCTTCAACTTCATTTGAAAGCTGAATGTTGCTGAGAGTTTTGAAATTTGTGGCCCGGGGCTGTATCCATTAACTCGAATGAGGTGATCATCCACCCATTGAACATTCTGATGATTTCTAAACATCCACATTTCAGAAATTTCCCTTATCATTGCTACAACTCATAGTAGAAAACAAACTAGAGATTTCCCAAAAGTGAATGAATGTTATAAATTTCATACAAATGTATACTTTTATCCAGAGCTTCAGAAATCTAACTAATTTGATTCTATTTTTCATTAATACTGACATGTTAAAGAACACTTCGTTAGAAAATTAAAGATATTACAAGGTGGCCAGGGGCAATAGTTTTGAAGGAACTCAAGTATAAACAAACTATTGAGTTTCCTAGAATGTTAAAATATTGAATATACATGCAAATGTATAATTGAATGTATATGCAAAACAAATAGGAAAATAAATTGCAATTTACAAAATTAATATTAATATATTTGTACAATGCATTATGAAATGAAATAAAATTTTATTTAGAAATTACTGTGGACTCTAAGAACACAATGAGTCTGCATATTTATTAATCTACGTCTGAAGGTGGCATATTCCTGAAGTCTTAACCATGTATCCATCTAGGGTGAATTTGAATTCTAACTTTATCATTTTACAAATCGTCTGACTTATTAATACTAAACAAATTTAATATGTACATTTTAACTTTGTTTTGAGGCATTCTAAGCAAAAGTTGAGCCTTCAGAGGGATTTCTTTTTTCTTTAATCTTATATTTACATTCTTTTATAAATGTTTCTAGAATATTTTTATTTAAAATGATGTAATAGATTTTCTTGTTAAAATTTTCGCAGGAGAGGGAAGTGACTGTAGGTTTAGAGATTTATGAATTTTTCATTGTGACACTTAAATTCACCAGTAGATCTGAACAGTTTTTAAGGTACAATGCCACTTAACTAAAAACAAGATAGAGAACGAAAATGTGTAACTCTCACCACACTCTAATAACACCCATTACACTACTTTTAAAATAATTATTATTTTGGTGATTAAGTCCACATGACAACTTTTCAAATGTGTATAATTGTAAGATTACTCTCTCATAAAATTTGTAGCAAGTTTTTGTAAACTCTGGGTATTTAAATTTGCAGAAGTTGTAACTTCTTTGTACTGATTTCAATCTACACTTCTGTTTTTCTCAGAAGCCATTACAGCAACTTTCTCTGAGACTATCACACATTCATCAAAAGTATATTTTCTCGCATTTTGTGTAAAAACAGTTTAAACTCTCTCTGCTTCAGTAATTAAAATAAATTATTTTTTTTAAAAAATTCTTTTAAGTTATGACAGTTCAATAACTCAATGGAATGCCTGTTTCAAATTATAATTTTGTATTGTAGACACTGAAGAGAGCTTAAAAAATAGCTAAACAAATTGCTTCAAAAACAAACTTCATCTCATCAGATACAAGAATTATAATATAATTCTCTCCCAAATAAAAAAGGTCAATTCTGACCAGTAGGGGGTTAAATTTAAAACATAACATAGAACCAGTATCGCACCTTTGATTGCCAAAGCGCTTCTTGCACACAGAGCACACGTTAAACTCTGTGACCAAAATGCTCTGTGACTCAAAGTGCACCCTCTGTTCCTGCACCTGCAGGTGTTCTGCATACACCAGTCCCTTCAGCACCTGGGTGCGCCGTCGCTCGCTCAATTGCCGTTGCACACATGTTTCCAGAAAGTGCTGGATGCGCCCCAAAGGCACTTTGTCAGGGAGCACACCCAAAGCCTGGGAACATAATAAAAGAGTAATTAAATAGACATAACAAACATAAGGAACAAACTTTTAAGCCTTGCATTCAAATTTGTAACACAAGTGATACTGCAGGCTACATAGGTAGTCCAAGTTGAAATGATAATTTTTTAGCCATTTTTTAGTCATTTAAATGTTCTGAATAAGTACTGTTATCTCAAAATGTTTGAAGTTGATATCAAAGCCATAATTTTGACTTATGGACTTTAAATCTACCCGTTATTTTATGGATTAAAAAGGATATAAACAATATGTAATATTCACATAATGAATATTTTTTCTCCATGGGTAATTCAACAGGAATCATTAAACAGTTGTGACAAAAGTAGATTACTCTAATATGACAAAAGCACATTACTCTGACAATAGTGTATCAGCTTTCAGATTTCTTGCTTGGCAAAGTTACTTCTATCATTCATAATAGTAACACTCGTGGGGCTACAATTGTAACCCAGCCAACTCTGACAACATGCTTTCTAGTGAAGCATGAAAGCACACTAGATGGTCTGAATAACTTGTTTTCTGAAGCATCTGTGATTCCCACCATTCTAAACTCAGTATAAGATGCGCGCTAATAAAAATAAAATGGCTAGGCTACACCAGTAGCATGCATGAATACTCTACGATTAATGGCTGCTTAATTGTGATAATGGTTACTGATTATTCCATTAGCTTCACAGATTCAAGAAAATGAACGCAATGGGTCAACAAGTTGTTAACTTCTTGGAAATTTTAGGTATGCATTCCTTAGGAGGCAATGAAAAGGTGGCAATCCTAGACCATATATTTAGAGTAATATAAATGAATACAAGTCTGTTCATAAACAAAATTTGGTACTGGTTCTCAATATCTACAAAGTTAAATGAAGTGGTCTGTCCATAAATTACATAATGCAAATTCAGAGTATTTTGAATACCCCCTCCTGTAATGCGCGCTTGAACACCTCTCTCTAAATAATTACATAATGATTGTGACAGTAAGCTCCCCCCCCACCCCATTTACAGTAAGTAAAAATGTATTTTATAACAATAAAAACTGTTCATATTAATTTTAATTGTGTTGAATTTTAAAATGAATGATAATTAAAGTTCTAATTACTTGGTGATGCTGACCACACCTAACAATATCACTGGAGAGAATTTTTGAGCAAAAGAAGGATGCTTAGGTGAGACAATTTCTGGCAATAAACCATGTACCACTTGCTGTCACAGATAATGCACTGGTGAGAGACTATTGTGCCTATTTAATTGGATTCTACAATATTCTAGAGATGAGTTTTGAATATTTTCTTCAGAATCTAAGAGATATAATCAATACATTGTTGATGAAAAAATGATCTTATTTATTGCAACAATTGATCATAATTTCATTAATTTATTAATATTTTTAAATTTAATTTGTTATTGTTTTAGTATGAGACTGAATAAAAAGAATTATTTCTGCATGTGTTGGGTCAAAAAACAAAAAAAAAAATTCAAGTAACGCTAAGCTAACATCCCTCTACCCCTCTGTAATGCAGTGAACACTGTCTCAAATCCTCTCCCCCACTTTTTAGCATTATGAAATTTATAGAGCGACTCATTTACAAAAAGAAAGTCTCAGATCCCAGTCTTTTCCTTAAAAATGAGGTAAAATTTAAAATAATTCACTGAATACCCTAAATCGAGACCCCCAAGGATGGAATTTCCTAATGGGCATTTACTCCCAGAAGTGCACTCTTCTCTGAGCCTATTGCCAAAAAATGCTATCATTAATTTGAACATGTTAAAAAAAAAATTTTAAAAAGAAAAACGTAATAATAATGAATAACATGAATAACAATAATTACTTGGGTTTACATATTAGTATTAATTAAATTTTCCCAAACAGGTATCAAATTAATAATTAATTGTTTATATAAACTGATAATAAAAGTCTTGTTTAATCACAAACAATCCAAAATTTCTCAACTATAGTTTCTGTTCTATACCATTAGTTATACTTTTATTGCTTTTTACTCTCTAATAGAAAACATGTGTTGGGATGAAGAATTTAAGAGCTTGAGTAGTCATGAAGCTGTCAAGGCTATCAATAGGGTAGGCAGCTGTGACCATGGATTCAAGTAGCAGCGGTGAAGGGATTACATTTTTCGTCGAGGTCATCATGCAACTCAAATGGATTAGACAGAATGGAATAGTTTTGCAGATGACATAGGTTATTGACCTTCATGTTATCTGCAAAACACTGAGGGCCTGGACTTTATGTAGACTGTAAAGTCACCAGTACATAGAAATAATAAGATCTGGCCGAGGACTGATCCCTGTGGAACTCCATTTGTGATTGCTC